GTTTTGCTGACTTGCAAGGACCCATCTGTTATAACGATGCCCAAAATAAAGAAATGAATCTCATAGTTTATTAGATATAATCCGTGTAAAGTTTGCTTATCATTTTCGCATAAATTATGACCTAAATTTGGAAACCGCTGAATTTCTCGAATTGGGTCTTTGCGATTTTGGTGAAACTCTGTTCAGCGCAAGGCACTAATGCGCACTATGTGTAGCCGAGAGATTTTCACGAAAAAATGCCGGCAACAGCAGATTTTCGACTCAGACCTCAAAGGGGCGTGTTATTATAACCACGTGACATTTACTCTGATCGCCAAAAATTTTATGTTATATTGTAGATTGATCTATATGTTATCCATTCTATGTGTTAGACTTACGATAAAAGTAAAGGTGGGGATACCAGAGAGCTTCAAAGTAGGATGGTACCCCCTCTAAAAAACTGCCGGGTCGAGTCACCTTAAGTTTCACCTCAGTAGAAGGTCAAAACGCACATGCTCAGAAACGAGTGCATGGTAAGATTACGCTCTATGGATTACATTTATTCTTAGTGGAAGTCCAAATGAATGCTGCTTACCGTAAATCCTCTATTAAGCCCCCCCCCCCCGGGGGCTTATTTCTTTTTAAGCCCATTTGTTGAGGAGGCGGGGGGGGACTTATTTGAGAGGCTTATAGAGAGGGGGAAAAAGGATTCCGCAGAATTAGTTCAAAATATATTCCTGAAGTGGTTGCTGGGAGTTAATAAATACTGCAATAACAATGCGGACAGAGCTGAGACAGGAAGGTTTCCAATTAGAATTGAAGCCCAATGTAGGATCTTTGAGTTCTGTTTAACCTTAACCAAAAATGAAAACAAATTATCCGAAATAGCATACAATGACATTAAATGGAATGAAAATAAACCGGAGCAAAAAAGTCAAAAGCTTATTGGAACAGATAGGATTGGGAGAACTCTGGATGAAAGCATACTATGCAGATATAGGAATCGTAAACATGATCAGGCAACGACTTAAGGATATCGAACTACAAAGATGGCTAAGTAAAATAAATAACGACACCAAGCAGCAAAATGAGAACCTACCGGTTATTCAAAACGATAGACAATTACAAATGTGAAGATTACCTACATCGGGTCACCAAAACGCGACACAGAATAGCTCTAACAAAACTGCGACTTCATCCACAAATTAGCCATAGAGACAGGATGTTATTCGAGACCGTTTAAGAAACCTACAGAAAGAATTTGTCGAATTTGTAAAATAGAAATGGAGGACGAATACCGTTTTCTAAATACCAGGAAAAAAATGTTCGTTACTAGGTTATTTGGAAAAAGAATATGGAAGAAAAATAAGCAGAATGTCACCTAACAAAATATTCATGTTTCTAAAACCCCCCTAGCGGAAATGCTAAAATACAGAAACTAATAGCAAAACATGTATTCGAATGCTTTGAACTGAAGGAAAGGGGAAGACGGTAAAAAGTAAATACTCTAGGACTTAATTAATTAATAACTTATTAGTCATATATGGTTAGGAATTTTTGTTGTTTGTAATTTTAGTATTTGGAAATAGTTGATATGCTATTTATTGCGTAAGACTCCAAATAAAAATATGTATGTATGTATGTATGAGGAGAAGTGTGACGTCAAGTTACCATGGAAGCAAAATTTCTGTATCACAACAATAGGGAGCTTAAGCAACGACGACAGCGACGGCAACGAAAACCGCAAAAAAGCAATAGGTTTATATTGGCAAAACAACAACTTTGCACCCTTGTGCATTTCTTAGCCGTCGTCAGACTCGTACCCAGTCGCTATTTAAGTGTTTTTTGGGGTGAAAGAAGATTGGGGATTAGATTGAGGCGCGCGCGGGGTCTCATGGGAAGGGAAGAAGGAGAAATAGCTAGCGACAATCCAATCTTCTCTCACCCAAAAAAACACTTAATTAGCGACTGGGTATGAGTCTGAGCAGTCGCTGCAGTTCTGCCGCAAGAAACTTCCTAATTTTACGCACCCGCTTTACGGAGTATGTACGTCATTTCCGCCTCTCCCTTTTATTGCGACATTCTCCATCTATATAATATTGTGATTGCTACATAAGTTCAGTAACATCTGTAAACCTGAAGAAGGCTGGTATGGCCAGCCGAAATATTGTTATAAAAAACAATACACGTTCTTTTAAATCAGCTTTGCTGTAGTCTTCGGACTTCCCGTTCTTGTTCTTTTTCTTTCTCTTAATTTAAATATGGTCCTTTCGGATACGACCCCAGAAAATTTCACCAACATTCGACAAATTAAATGAAACTGAATAAGAACGATGAAGTTTGAAATAGGTTGAAGTGACGTTTTCGTCATCATATAGAAATTTTGCTACCAAGGCAACGTGACGTAACAATATCTCTTCTCTATTTAATTTAGAAAAGATGATGGTATCAGTTCTCCAAGTCAGGGGTCTTGACAGGCCCGTAGGGAGGGGAAAACGACGGGTGTGCTCGCACCCCCTCCCCCCCCGTTTTGTGGAGCACAATACAACTTTTTATCTTCTCCTGATCTTGTATGTTTTGTTTTCCCAATTCAGACCACGTGATGTTTTACAGGGAATCTGCCTTTTTTCTTTTCGTTAATTATGCATACATAGGCACGTGGATGCACGCGCGTAAGACGAAATTTGCAAGCTAAAAATGTCTTTTGAAAATACTGTGAAGAGTTGACAAGCCCTGGCTCACGCTTTCCACAAAACGTGTTTAGCCTTCGAGAAAGAGTATAAAAAAGGAGGATTTGGTATGCCTACAAGGCATTTACCTCTTGCTAATTCGTCACCTACTCTTTCATTTTGTTGGGTAAGGTCTCTTTTGAAGGATTCGTAGTGCCGATTGAGCAAATGTTTCATTTGCCACTTTTCTTTCACTGAGAGGTCATGTGGTCTTTTACTGTACAGCATCTGCCTATGGTTTCTTATCTTTGCTCTATTAGAAATTGACCTCTGATCGCTAGCAGAAGATGTTAGTATTTTACTTTTTAATTTTCAAAAGTGGATCGCTAACCTTTAGGCTTTGTTTCCATAGTTTCCTCCAAAGTGTTGGATCAGAATTATTATTTTTAACAGTGAATAAGAGGTTCCCTGGTATGGGTTTGACAGATGCTGGACCCAGCTCTCTAGCGTTGCTTGCAGGATATTAAAGCCCCTATTGAAGCTACCCTACTTTTGTAGTAAAAAAAATTGCATTGTCACTAGGTCAACGGCGTTGCTTGCATCTGTCAACTCCGAGTCCTTTCGTATTAGAATAATGCAAATCTTACTGGAGCACTGGAGTTTTGTTTTTGTTTTTGTTTTTTTTTGTGGCGAGGAACAGTACAAACGTTCTGTCTGACTTAATGTTGACCTTACGCAGATTTATTAGGCCATATCAAGGATCGGAAATTCCAGATTTTCAATTGGCTGCTTAACAGCCACCCACAAGAGGTGGATCACGCATCCTCTTGTGCTTGAAAGACTGTTCCTTTTTTGTGTAGCCCTTTGTTTTAGAGTATAGTTTAAAATATCTGCTGTTTTCTGTGACCCTGAAAAGGAAGTATTTCCAGCACAAGAGAGCCTCTCTTCCCGGGCTCTTAAGCACATCCACTATCTAACATACATTGATCCGAAAGAAGTCGTTGATCTGTTTCTAAGAAGCACCCAAGTAGGCTTATTTTGGCACATTATTGATTGATTTTTTCTCTTGCGGCGCTTGGCTTTGAGGAAAGAAAGACGACCGTTCACGGCACAGGGTCCAGAGGAGTTTCGTGTGAATAAATGAATTACTTACCTTGAAAAATGTCTATACCTGTCACTTAGCACGATTAATTAGCGCAATGGGATCTTTATAAATCTACTGTAAACGATTTCTTCGCTTCTTATCTGACCCAGATCGACGTTTGAAAATCAATAACCGCAAGCCATATCCTCGCTGGCGCACAGCACGTCGCCCGAAGGGTGACCGAAGGCCTGTCGCCCGGAGGGAGACCGAGTGCACGAAGTGCCGAGTAAAAGAATTTTATACTGTAAGCCGATCTTGCGAGCCCTCAGTCTCTTGGTTTGCGGTCTATAGAATGTATAACGAAACCGTAACGCGATCAAAATAACCCATTTTTTTAAAGGTTTTCGACGGGTTTTGATGTTCTAACGACAAACACATCTCCTCTGGACCATGTGTTCACGGTCTACAACCTTATACCGTAAATGATCATATAGACACCCCAGGGCATCCATTCAATTTTTGGACCCCAAGCAGGGGCGTATTATAGATTGGAGGAGTCAGCGAGGCGTTTATTCTCATAACTGTATCAAATTTCACAAAACTAAAATGGATTCGGAGAGTATATCGGTGCAGTATATAAATAACAGAGTATCTAGTCCATCCATTGATTAATCAAGGCCGTTTAGAGAAAAGCTCAACTTCGATGTCAGAATCCTTACTTTGAACTTGACACTGAACAAAATGCAACGCGAAAACTCTTGTTAATCAAAGAAAAAGTGAAAAAATTGAATAATTGTGTCGATTGTTGTTACTACATCCTAGTATCTTTGCTTTATCAGAAATTGACCTCTGATCGCTAGCAGTCTATTGTACAGGGGGCGTTAATTATAGAGGGCTGTTCAATACAAACTTAAAAGTGTTGGGGGAGGGGTGCCTATTAGCGGCAACAGGAGTTTATTTGAGAGATGGCGTCTATTAGATCATTTATGGTACAAACAGTTCAGTGTAAGACCGTTAAAATGTCAAACCACAGATGAACGCTAGCGAACAGCTTCAGAAATTAGAGTGGCAGGCTTCGTAATTTGTGCTGATTGACTGGCTCCAGGGGTCTGATGTTGTAAGAGGGTGAACATTGAGTTTTGGAAGTGAATGAAACTAGATTATGATTTCTGACACAGAACACGTTTACAGCTTTCCTCTAAATGTTTACGACTGTTTAATTTACTTCATGTTTATATCAATCTAACAATCAATCTAATCAATCTAACGAGAGAAGCAATAACGGTTGAAACTACAATGCCATTCCAGATCCTTCGCCTGAGTCAAGGCACTTTCTGAAGTTTTTGAAACATGGTTTGTAATCTGGCTTGTTCTCTGTCACACATTTTACCAATTCCATGGTGCACTGGAGATATAATAGAGAAAAAAATCTATTTTAAAATTTCAGCGAAATCAAGAATTATCTATTCTCTCTCTTAATGGAGCCTTTTATTTCCTCAGTCTTTTTGACAGAAAAGGGACCCCTGGCTTTCTCATACTTGCTATTCACAAATGATACTCCTTTCACTTATCTGGTTTAGAACGCTGTAGCCCTTCGAACTGCTATAAATTTACAGCCTTTTAAAGACAATTTTAGTTAAAAATGCATCTGTAGCCCTTTTTAGGTCTTTTTACAGACCGAAATGACAGTTTCCCATACCCTTTCATATACTTTAACAAAAAAAATCCCTATCCTATCTTACACTTGTCTTTTGGGTGCAGGGTGCGTCCCTGTATCGGCCATTATAAGAAGTACCCTAGCTTTTGGTTAAATTTGATTAACTTATTTGAATCTTTATTGATCAGTTGCCATTAAAAAAATAAAAAAAGACTGTGACACGTAAGGTAAGTGCAGATCGTTCAAATAGGGTAGTCAGGGATGACTTACTTACTTACTTACTCAGCTGTACACTTTCCCTAATTGTATTGACGTTGTCAAAAGAAATGATAAATACGGCTATGATTTGAGATAAATTGCAAATGTGACGTTCAAATACAGCGGTAGGATTGTGAAATTTGATACTGTGTGGTTGTCATTTTTGTCAAATGCAAAGGCAAACTAATTCATACTGTCTTCTACCCGCTGCCAATCACACGACAAAGATTTCTTATCGTTCTTCTTGATAGTTCTATAACAAACAACTTAACAAAGGTATCCCAACCGGCGCACGCGCGCCTCATGCACCGGGTAGTTTACTGAGGCTACTTACGACAGGGCATCTCTTCTTATATTTGCGGAGACATTTTTTGTTAATGCGACCTTTTGGTTTAAAGCATCTTCGTATTCCTTTCGATTTACACTCCTACAAAAAAAAAAAATATTAAGTTAGTTTTATCAATGACGGAAACACAAATACAGTCTTCTCAAACAAAATTCCTATATTAGTTAACGAATTCGTTATTAAAGACAAAAATTTGTCGAACGGCGCGCGAGAGTAACGAGAACGTGATAAAACAACAACTCTGACCGCGCTTTTTACTTTTTAGTACACTTCCTTGCCCTTACTGCACGACTTACTAATAAAACCGACGTTCATCGCCCCACTTCAAGCCCTTTTAACGCTGGGTTTTCAGCTCATCCTGAGGAAAAACCTCTGCCGCAAGGAGAGAAATACATTCTGACCATGAATGCGATATTTGAGCGAAAGACTTTATAATGCGCAATCTGAAACAAATTAATTAATGAGAGTCATGCAGCCCAACCAATCTTCAATTACTAGAAAGACTTAGCATTAACTGAAATTGTTCTAATTATTGCCAATACCCAGGAGCCCTGCAATACCTTGTCGTCATCATCGTCATCATCATCATCATCATCATCATCATCATCATCGTCGTCGTCGTCGTCGTCGTCGTCATCATCGCTATACAGCGTTTCAGCCTTATCGTTTAGCTGTAAATTCTCTATTTTCATTTCACTGTCTTCCACAAAAGGGTGAGCATACACCAGGGCCGCAAGAAGAACAAATAGAAGCGCAAAGATAAGCCTCATCTTTCAAGTTGATGATTCTTTCCTCAAAAGGTTGTTTCACCTGGAATATGTAGCAGCGAAATGAGTAAGTCTGCGGCTTAGTTGGCTTTTTTTTTATCTGTTTAGTGATAGCTGGTGCTGATTGACACGGGAACAAATACACATGATTGAAGGTAGATTTTAAGCAAACTGCTCACATTAAATCAATTTGAAGTTTAAGAGACTATTTTAACAGCTTGTTATAACATTCAAACTTATTTTCACAGTTCAGTTTGTATTCTTTTCGCAACCACTACAGACGAAGACTGATCAGCATCAAGGTTGAAAACGGATGACTCAGCTTATTTACAGTTAAATATCATTAATCTATAATATTCATGGTCTCCTTCGATACAAAATCACTAAGAGTTGATTTTGGTTGTGTTTATGCACCACTGATGATTGCATGACATCATTATTTGGCAAGTTTAGGTTTGTTTGTATTGCGGGGCGATTTTTCTTTCGAATACTAATAAGCCAGCGCCGTAGCTAGTATGAGGCCAACCGAGGCACTCGCCTCGGTAAAATTTTGACGAATTTCGCCGATTATTTTTATTTTACATAAGCGATCATCGGATATTTTTAACGCATCATGATATTACAAAGAATTCAGCAATTCAGTCAATATACTATGAAAAAATAACCATATCATCGATCTCAAGGGGCTACATACGTTAACTCAATTTTTTTTTTTAACAAATACTGATCAAAACCATTGGCGAGGTTAACGGTCACCCAGATTATGTAGCTTGTTTCTGATTATTGCTTTTTAAATTCCACTTAAATTAACTCGAAAAAAAGTTACCGAAAGGCCCAGAAAACGCTGCAAATCGGATTTCCGAGAGACTAAAGTTCAAAATTTCTCGGGGGGGGGGGGGCATGCCCCCGAACCCCCCTAGCAACTCCCGCCTGCCTCTTTTGGCCGTTTGGTCTGGCTACGGCACTGTAAGCACGCTAATTATGTGTCCATGTGGGTGAAAAATGGACATTAGTCAACGGCCGAAGGAAATTTAAAACTTCTGGTAGATTTAATACACAGAATAGAGGCCTTATATCTTGAAAAGCTTTTAGTTTGATATATTATATTAAAAACTTAAAATCGTAGATTTGTTTGATCATCTGACAATCTTTATTTAGCTTTTTTTTTCGAAGAATGTTTAATATTCATCGAATCTTAATGCGAGAAAATAAGGATGAAAATAGTATTGCTAGTAATTTTGTACTAGAATTTTGTTACCCATTATACCAGGAGGATTATAGGGGACGGGAAGCCTCAATCAAATAACCAACTTATCGAGAACTTATCCTATTTTTCATGTTTTCAGTGTATATGGGATTGTATTGCGGATAAGTTTACAAAGATAGCAAGTACAGAGGTTTCTCTTTATGGTTTTTTTCTTGAGATATAGCGAGGATAACGCCTGACTGGGAGGTCTTCTTGCAAATAATGACCGAGCGCGTAGCCTGAGGTCGCTATTTTGAGAAAAGCCGAGGAGCGAGGGTGTTATCCGATTTAACGCACCTTTCCATATTTTAGAACTAGGGGTACCTTCCGGCAAGTGACAACGAGGCGAATTCGTTTATCTTTTGTGGAATGTGCCTGTCTAGATCTTCGCAATTTGTTACATTATTTCAGAGGTTTACAAAGGATTTCCCTATAGAAAAGGATGGCACTCAACTTTAGAAAAACAAACTTGAGTACATTCTAGGCTTTCACTTCTATTAAAAAATAGCAAAGAAGCTTTGTTGTCTTTGTTGGTAAATTGGTGCAAGTTAACACTTATATTTTCTGGAAATTCAAAACTATAAACGTTAGAAAGTAAAATATAGTTCAAGTGAGACCTTTGACTGCTAGAATTAAAAATCAAAATTAAATTCCGAGCTTTCGCCAATCAACGGCATCATCAGGGATAAGAAAAAATATTCCGCATGGTAATATACATATCAAAAGTGCAAGCAAAATAAGTGAAAAGCGCAAGAATCAGGTATAAAAATATGAACTTGAATAAAATACAAAGATCTAATGAGTCAGTGGCACAGGACAAAGAGTCTATTGAAAGGAAAAGTGATTCGTAATGATGGTCTTTAAAATAAAAGGTCCCGCGCAAATTCATTGCATTCCCCATGGTAGTTTAGGGCTGTCTTCAGTGTAAATCGAGCTGCAAAAGGACACGCTGGTTGACAAATATCTCTCTTATGGCAAAAATAACTTCTAAAAAACAAGTCCTCAAATGGGTTGCATTCCTCAAGGAAGGTGAGGACCGGCTCAATGTAAATCGAACTGCAAAGAACACGCTGGATCTGATAAACTTATTGAGAATACAACACTATTCTTTGATTAACTACCGCATACAATTCTATTTACAAAGGAAAAAAATAATACTGAAAACCCTGGTTCTGAGTCGAGAGGCGAACGCGCTATCTCAATGTAAATTGAGCTGCGAAGAACAAGCTGGTTTTGACAGAAATTGGAGCGTAAAAGCCTATTCCTTGATAGCTGCTGCTTTAAACGCAATTCATAAAGCAAACCAGTTCACTAGTAGCCCTTTCAGACTAGAAATCGTATTAAAGCTTGCTTACCTGTTAGGGCCTCTTGAACCGTAAACGGACAGCTGCACACGGGGTCACCCAATTTCGAACCACGAGTTTTGAGCAGAAGATCATGACGTCACTGCCCAAATATGGAGTCTTACGCCCAAATATGGTCAAAAATGCAAATTTTAGAGGGTTACGTAGGATTTGAGATTTTTTGCCTACATTGCGCGGGATTATGCTCGTCATTATTGTGACCACTGAAGTGGAACAGTAGGTTATTAGTGTTAAAAATTAACTGTTCAAAACAGTGGAAAGGTAGAACTGAGCTCAATATCTAAACGACCACTACGGAGAAGAAAAGGGAGGGAGAGGGGTGGGTTGGCTCGTACAGGCTCTTTCTGTCACTCTTTGGCCTTGCAACCCCGGATTTTGGCGTTAGAAAAATTTCTCTCACAATATTAACAGCTGCATTCAAGAACAAGTGTGCTATGAATGACAGTTTTATGACCAAGCCCCTGGAGCATGCTCCGGGAGCAAAATCCCTCGTGTGTATCGGTCTTTAAATTTGGCGGGGTGTTTGTATTTACGCGCACTTAACTACTATTTCTAAGTATGAAGTGGCTTTCCACTCCCTGTCGATGATTGGCCCTTTCCCTTCAGATAACGATATCGGTCGGAGATCAAGAGGAAACATTACTTTTAATTTATTGGCATTTGGAATGAATCAATCAGAAACTTAGCATTACCGACTAATGTCTTTCGTATTTTGGCATACATTTTACTAGCTACATTACTTGGAATAATAATTCATCATCTTGGGTGTTTAAGTTTATGTGCTCTTTAAACGTCTTCTTTAATTTTTAACCTACACGTAGCATTTAAGCCAAATTGAGTTATTTGGCTTCAGAGATAAAAAAAAAAAATGAGACCGACATTTCCTGACGCAAAGAAAATTAATATAAGCAAGAGATAGAGGATGAATTCTTCAGCGATTTAAAAGCAGTTACTGTCGTTAATACCGCTTTTCAAAGCCCTGAGCTCTGAAAATTTTTAAATTTTAAGCATGACCAAATTCCCATAAGACCAATACAGAATATTTATTGTCCACAAAACTTAATACATCTATAAAAAAGACGCCGAAGTGTTTTGAAAAGTGTCAATATCCTGTATGATCATACTATTTCTTCTTCATCCTTTCCTAATATCCATTTATAGAGTCGAACGGGCAGCATCAACACCTGTACAACCAAGTCAAAGAGCGGAGCACAACAGGGCGAACAGCATTTTACTGAAAAGGGAGAAAAACGCGATTGTCTGAGTATAAAAAGAGTTTATATGTTTACTGCGCAAATATACAGCTGATTTAATTCACGATATATCGAAAAAAAATAGTGGTTTGAGTTAAAGTGCATTTAATTATCAGAGGAAAGGTGTTTCTCATGCAAATAACGTAAACGTCATTGAGTTGTTTTTTACTTTCTTTCTGGGGCCTTCTTAGGGCGTCATCAAACATCAATTTTTGTGAACTTCTATACTTAACCACGCAAAGGGCCGATGCAACAATTGGCCAGTACCAAGAGCCATAATGGCTCTTGCCAGTACCTTTTGATCACTTAGAACAATAATTTCATTTGTTGACCCAAAAATCCAATCCTTATATTTATAAACTCTTGGAAAATTATGAATTTACAATAGCGCACTTTTTACATTAAAAAAGGCTGATTCTCGCCGGTCTTAACGCGCATCTTAAAAGCTGGGTTGACGCTTAACTATTGGCTGTTCCATTGAGGTACGATATTAATTTTGATTTTAAGCGGCACTTTTATCATAAGAAATGAGATAGAAACAAAACTCGGGAGATTATAAAATTGTGAAAATGGTAAGAAGGCGTAGAAAAAAGGAACAAACACGAATGAATCGATCATCTCAGGACCAAAATTTTTATTCTTAAATAATGCTCCCGCACTGTTTTCATTTTCCCCCCAGAGTTTACATTTGCTTGACGGAGGGTAGGTTACCAATTATTGAGTTTTTGTAAGCTTTTTCGACGAATAAACTACACTATATAAAAAAATAGCAGTTGACTTAAAAAATGTACCTGGTAAGAGAATTACCCAGACGAAAAAGGCCAACAGTGTGAGTAGAAGCACAAAAGGAAACAAAATGAGAGCGAAGAAACAGCGACAACAAGCTACACAGTAGGTGCCACAGTGCTTTTCTTTGCATTTATACGGCGCTCCTATAGGCTTCTTATCCGCGCCAGATTCCCCATCATTTGTGCTTCCCACAAGCTGAGCTGACTCTTCGCTATCCTTGTCTTTATCACCTTTTCCCATTTCTCACAGAGACATCGACTGCTTTCCGTGTTTCAGTCGAGACCCAACGTCCTTTGAAAACAAAGAGACGCTTTTGAGACCAGACAGATGTTTCACGTTTGTCTCCGTATGCAGATTAAGTTCTCAATTAATCTTCTGCTCTTTTCATATTCATGTTTGAAACTGAGG